AGTGGGAGGGAGCTGCTGGGAGGCAGGCGGACAACAGGGATTTCAACGTCTACATTGTGACTGGATGCCTGCAGGTATTCATCTGCCTGTAAAAAAAAAAGTCTTTGCTTTCGGGTTAACTTGTCAATCTTTTCCCTTCTTTATTTATACGAATCCTAAGTCACAGTTTTATTTAATAGTTAACCTTTGAAAAGTCAACCTAAACTCAAACACATTTAATAAACATGTTAACTCCTCAAACTCTGTCCTACACTGAGTATCTTAAAACTTCCAGGTATTCATCTGCCTGTAAAAAAAAAAGTCTTTGCTTTCGGGTTAACTTGTCAATCTTTTCCCTTCTTTATTTATACGAATCCTAAGTCACAGTTTTATTTAATAGTTAACCTTTGAAAAGTCAACCTAAACTCAAACACATTTAATAAACATGTTAACTCCTCAAACTCTGTCCTACACTGAGTATCTTAAAACTTCATAGTCTTTTAAGTAACAAAACTCAGGAATTCTTGTCTACGTTCTCACATACACATCCATGGCTCCTAGCAAAGAGACCTGAAATAAGATCATTTCCAGGTCTGTTGTGCTATAAAAACTTCATTTTTTTGGTGTCCCCATTTACAAAGTACTTGCACACTATCACATGAAAACATTTACATGTATAATATATAATATGCATTATAATCAATCATGTAAATGAACACATTCCAGACAAACTAGGTGAGATAGTCAAACAGCACACTGAAATCTGAGAAAGGCTGGGGAAGGAAGGAGAGTGGTAAAAATTCCAAATGAATGAAGGGGTAACTTACACAGGACCCTCTCCCTTACCTGGGATCTGCCCCAGAAAGAACTGGTGATGACCTTGGTGGTATTCTCCCCCTCAGTGCAAAGAACTACATTCAGAGTTAGAGAACCTCAGTGACGAGTACCTCTCCTGCCTGCGTAAGCTGCAGAAGTGTCGAGAAGAGCTGAACCAGAGCCAGCAGCTGCCTCCCAGAGTAAGAGGGTCTATCCTCTAATACAGCCCTGGATAATGGAGGGATGGTATCTCCTTTAGATAATCTCACGGCTAAAATTTACCAGCCCGTGACAACGTCTGGCCAGCCTGTCCCATTCAGCTTGGTTTATACAACACTGACAGTATAGCAACCATGGAAAAAAGCTGGCTTATGCATCCAAGATTAATTTTCATGGAACTCTTAAGCCTGAAAGACTTACTACTAGCTAAAGTATGAAATGGTAATCTTTTAGCCTATTGAGCATAGTGGCAAGGATGGAATGAGAATGAAAGTAAAAAATAATTTTTTTAAGGAATATAAAGAGAATAATCTTATTTTAGAGTTATTTACCACCCTTGATTGGTCATACTGGTACTTAAGTATCTGGCCCCTGCTAACTATCATTCCTTTTACCAGTAAATGGACCAGTGACCACCAGTAAAGCGGTTTTATCCCAAGGGAGGTGACAATGTGAGAGGATGACGTAAGCAGCTTTTTCTCCTCTACCAACCCAAAGTTTTCCACTGGGCTAGAATAGAACAAGGAAGATTTTTTTGCCTGTATCTTATCCAACCAACCCACGGGCTCCTTCTCTTCTCTCCTCCTCCCTTCTCAGAGGCAGTGTGGCCGATGGCTATCGATGCTAATGGTGATGATTGCTATAGCACTGGCAGTGTTCCTGGCAAACAAGGACAGCCTGATCTGAGTAACTTGTGACAGCTGCCTTGGATGAAATTCAGAAGCAAGAAATGAATAAAAAACTCAGAAGGTTTGGGTACTTTAAAGTGGGGTTTTCCCATCTCAACTGTGACTTCTGACCTTATTTTTTAACCTACTATAAAATAAACTGCATCTGACAGTCTCTCTTCCTTGGAACTCTCCGTTTATTCTTTAATGACATATCACACCACAAATATAAGACACTTGAGCATCCTGGTCTATTCTCCTTAGTTCAATTCAGTTGGAAATACATAAACATGCAGTAAAGTCCAGCCCTTCTGCTTTCTCACAGACACAGGGTGGGTATGGTAGGTATATTTACAACGCTTCCATACCATACATAGTGTACAAGGATATACTACCTGTCTTTCATGATCCTTCTTCTCCACAATCACTTTCCTTCTATCTTCTATCCAGTGAAGAAGGAACAAACACCTACCTAGCATAGAAATGGCAAATATGTACTATCGATGCCACCACCACCAACTGTTCCAAGCCTATCGCAGATGTGGCCAACTGATTACAGAATTTTCCCTTGTGTTCTCAAGATGCTTGGAACTGGCACTTGAGATGAATCCTGTTTGCCATCCCTGTCCTAGAACTAATTATGGACTGAATACCTTCTACATGGGAGTTAGTCAGAGGGCCACAACCGGCAGAGTGACTATCGCAGAGGAGATAGTGAGGTCATTAAAATCACTCTGAGTCCTACATCGATTTCTAAGGTTCTCCTCCCAAGTGTCTAGAATGTCCCTCAGAGCTGGGAACAAGCTCTCTGGGACACTAAAGGAATAAAGCAAGACTGAGGGTTGACTAAGTAGCCACGAGGTCCGGGCAGTGAACACCCGTAGTGGGGTCAAGGCCAAGCAGTTGTCATCTCCCTGGTTCAGGTGAAACGTATAGGGCACAGGGTAGCCCAGTAGGATCCCAAACACAGTACAGAGATTCCAGCCTGAAGAACAGAGCCTGCTGCAGGATACTACCAGGGATGGGTTCCTCTGCAACCCCTGCAAATGCGTGATGATCTCAGCTACGAGGGACTTCAAGTCCTGAAGCTGGTCCAGGGAACAGACAGAAGGGTGAGGCTGGGAACTGGAAACATCCACAAAGGCTACGGTACCAAGCAGCACCTGCTCCAGGTGCTCACATACACGCTCAGGACTGACAATCAAGCTGTTTTCTCCAACCTCAAGTATGTGAAGTCCCTGGGTTAGGAAGCCGAGGCCCTGCAGCTCTTCCAGATAGTTCTGGAGCTCTGATGTCCCTGCACAGTTGTAATCATACAGCAGTGCTGGCTTCAGTCCCCGGGCCACAGCCAGCACCTCTCCCGCTAGGTGAAGGCAGATAGCTCGGGGTGGGCCCCGTCTCTTCCCCATGCCCAGGGTCTGCTGAGCAGCTGCCACCAGCAGCTGAAGACTCGGTGTTGACATGGAATCTGGAAACATCCAGCATGGCCTTCTTAACTAGCCACAGTTCCCTCCCCTGGGCCACATCTCTGAGTTCGACACTTGAAGGGCCTAAAAACAAAGCAGGAGCAGAGGATTATTAACATCAGGTAGTGACAGACCAGGAGACCTGCCAATAGCCTTCCACTAAGTCTTATAGCATTTTCCAAAGGTCATTTCAGAATGCTAAACCAGTCCAGACAAGATGGAGTCACCACTGCTACCTGATTTCTATGGTTGACTTAGTCTTAGTCCCAAATTCATGTCTTTCTGGCTTTAGGACTAGATATATGTTCTCTCTGGCTTCTAGTCTAAATTTTATCTTTTGTAACTTGCTCAGATTTAAACCTTAAGGAGTTTGGGACAAAGAGGCAGGGCAGTCTTTTGCAAAATTCAGAGCATTTCACCTAAAACTGCCCTCCTGAGACAGAGTTCTAGGTTCCACATATATTCTTTCCACTGCCAACTTTTCCTCCCCTTCCTGCCGGAATAGTTGTAAGACTAGAAATCTGATTAAAAACACTAGAATGCAAACTAACAACCCTCTCCCTGAGACACAGAAACTGAATGTGTTCTAATTGCAAGAGGGTTGTATTTTAACTTCTGCTGGCCCTGCCATCTCCTTCTGGCCGACATCCGTGGGCCCCAAGGAGACAGCTCACTCCAATCCCCACACCCTTTCCTGAGCATATTATCGTGATTTGTTAAACCAGGCAGAAGTCTCTCATACACATACGTTCTTTTTCCACTTTCGCTTCAGGTTCGCAGGCTCAGAAACTCCTTTTTCCCAGTTTACTGCGCGCTGCCGGGAAGGCGGCGAGGACTTGCCCGGCGCCGCCGCACTAGAAATCCCGACAGCTCGGCTCCAGGTCCGCGAAGTCAGTGTATTGCGCATGCCCAACGCACTCCCCCCACCCCCACCGCTTTCCATGACGTCATCAAGCCCGCTCGCGCTCCTCGCGTTAAAACCACGGACGAGGCCGCCTGGCGGAGCGCCGGAAGCGTGGGCGCCAGCAGCCCCGCCCTTTCCGGCCAGTCATTAGCTGGCCCGACCCGTCTGCGTAGAAACGGGGTGGGGCGGAAGTAAACCAGAGGAGGCGGGGCCTGGCGAAGTGGTAACCTGCTTCGACCGTGCTTCGCGGAGTTCCTCGCCTCTGTGTTGTCTTGTCATCCACTTGACCCGCAAACTAGAAGGGCACATGGCACAAAAATATTTGTGTATGGAGAAATGCGGTTTCCCCTCCAAACGAAATTTATCTTAAAACAAGCAACACGTTTTGCAGACTATCCTCAACTGTGAGTTGTGCTACAAAGTTTTGCGGTTTTTTTCCATTTCTGAGCCACCTAAATTCTATATTAAGAAGCCGAATTCAGAGAAGTGGGTGGACAAGTGCTGTTCTGGCCCAGGTTTGTCATGTCTAAGCAGAGTGCGAAAGGCAGGAGTATTCACTGTGAACAATATTGTGCTAGGCACGCTCCTAGGCACGTGAGGTATCTCGGCACACAAACACCCTGCCTTCATTGAGCTCAAGTTCTAGGAATTAAGTTTGCTGACTTCACGTGCAAAATGAGGAGATACAGAGGCTTTACAATCAGGACATTAAGAAAAAGTGTTATTTCACTGAAAAATTAACACCTCTTTAACAACCAGTGATATGACCCATACCACGAAGGGAAAGAATTTCTTGTGAAAACCCACATCTGAGAATATGGCCCAAATTTATTGACCCATGGGCGGGACAGAGGCTAAGGGAACTGTAGGCATCTATACCTCTAGACCAGAAGTTTCACTCCTGGCTCTACCTTAGTGGTGTCTTCAAATAGCAAAGAGAGACAACCGTGGAGTAAAGATGGGCTCACCCTGAAAGGACCGGCTTGGTTCTTAGCTCAGAAAGTCAGCAGAGACTAGAAACTAATTTTAGAATTTTTACCTTTCCCTTATTTATTTTACCACGGTGATTAGCTATAAATCCCTGAAACGAAAGACTTTTTTAGTTCATTCATTTATTCTAACAAATATTTGAGTGCTTGTTTGGAGGTTCTAGCAGGAGAGCACAACTACTCGTATACCCTTAACAAAGAGCGGTCCTCTCCTATATAGGGGAAGGTCATCCGCTTCGACAAAGCACGCAGTTTCGGGAGGGATGCACATGGAGCGGTGAGGGAAGAAGGGGACATCCTCCTAGCCAGCCAGATCAGCCAAATCAACTCTGGCGATCAATAGGGTCACAGATGTCACAGCCAGATTGCCCTCACATCCTCTAACAAATATTTGAGAACATACTATGTACCAGGCACTGTGCTACGGGCTGACAACAAAGTCCAAGATAAACAGTCCCTACCTTCGGCAAGTTTGTAGACAAGCAGGGCACAGACGCTGAGTAATTCCAAGGGAACTGATTATGGGAACATATAAATAGAGACCTAATCATAGTGGAAAAGGACCAACCCAGATCCAACACTTGCCCTCCCAACTTACCTATGGTGGGTTCTTTTTAACATTTAGCTAACTTCGGTGGTGGATTGGACGGTGAATAAAAAGAAGAGCTGGTGACACTATCAAACTCTCCAGCAAGCAAGGTAAGGGCAATAAAGTAGAAGACACCATGGGAGTGAGTGGTATAGCCACCAAAGGAGATAGCAGACCGAGTCCCCAAGAAAGGAAGAACCAGAGAAGCACTCAGGGAGGTGAGCAGAGAGCGCTGCATGCGCACACTCCCAGCACTCTGAAAAGGATTTAAAAAAAAAAAAAAACTCACATGGAAAAAACTTGGCTATCTAGTTAGAGACAATGTAAAACCACTCATCCATTCTCCTGACATGTTCGTGACCTTTTCATTTACAGTCACATACTACAAGGTTGATGTTCTTGACACTTCAGAACACTATTTTCCACACCTGTTGCCAGCTCACATTATCTGGGCCCCCAGATGGACAGCCTGGCTGTTAACATCTCAGAATGGGGGAAAGAACCAGCCCAGATCTAAGAGTTGCCCTCTCAATTTAACTACAGTGGGTTCTTTACAATTTGGAGTTATAGAGACAACAGTGAACACTGTGAACTCTCTCACTTAACCCATTCAACGAAACAGCCAAAAAATACAAAGTTTCTGTGCCTTGCATGTTTCCTGGTCTCTAGAAGCCCAACTTACGCTCACAGCTGAGTACCTCATCTTTACTCAGATTTCTCTTGGTCATACTTTAGTAACAGTAGATCCCATTAGGTTCCTTAGAGACCCTAAAACCATGGCTTAAGCATTCTGAATAAGTCCTACTGCTACCTGCGACTGAGATGAGGTAATAGTTTTTGAAATAAAGCTAGCCAAACTTTTCAGCTAGCTCAACTTTAGTAGCAAGTAGGGGGAGGTTGGTTTAAGGGTAGCCGACTAGTCATGGGCTTATTTCATATGGCCTGGCACAAACAGGCATCAGTATTCAAGAGGATTGAGGCTGCAACCAGATTAGCATCTTGATTTCCACTTAGGCCCTGAGGTTTAAATCATGTACGATTTTTGTCTTTTAAAAAAGGGTGGCAGGGAGGCAAAAGGGTCAGGGACAAAGCAAAAGTTAATAGATAAGACCAGTTTGTGGCAGTTATAGCTGCAAAGTTCTACACCTTAATTGTTCACACCTAGCTACCTCCACTAGGAAGGCAGACAAGCAGGTTTGTGCTAGGTGAGCCTTTTCCAGAAAAGCACTGCCCAGCTCTTCTTCGTCCTGGCCTTAGCACACTCAACACCCCCTTTTTCCTAAATGCAAGTGACCCAAATGATAGGAAGGCTGTAAAATTCTCCAAAGAGAATCTGTCCCTTTTACAATCAGAGTTTTCCAAGATGCGCAGTTCACACTTCAATCTTCCTCACAGAAGGAAAAAAAGAAAAAGGAGCTCTGTCCTCTCTGAAGGCTGCCACCCGGTCATACATCTCACGTACCTCTCACACACAATCTGAGTGATAGCAAGGTAAACACCAGACAACTAATTCTTCCACAGGATCCCCAGGTCTTCTATGTCAACAGCGTCCCTTTAGCAGCTCAAATTATGAGCTTTTACTCCACAGACCGGGTGACTTTCAGACTTTGGCACCTATTTCTATTTAGATATCAAGCTTGGTTCCTAAGCAACCAGCTGGCTCCCCTCCCTCTCACTTCCCCCATCAGGGAGCTACCTTACTCTACTAGCAAAACAGGTCAAACGGAGATCGATCCTGGACAAATCAGTGTTTGAGGGAACTTTAATGAAAGCAAGAAAAAAATATAGGACAAGAACAATGCAGAAGGGTTCTGTTCCAAGCAGTTTCGCCTTGTACAAGTAGAATGAAGTCACCGAAGCAGAGTTTTAAAGCTGGTATTATTTCAGGCATCATTCCAACTCCTTCACCTTACAGTAATGAATCTGAAGCCCAGAGGTTAAATGACTTGGTTCAAGGTCACACCACTGGAAGCAAAGCTGTAGCTAGAACCCTGGTGTCCAAGCTCCCAGGCCAAATTTCCATCTACTACATGATACTACATTGGGAGGTTTTAAAAAGAAAGGGAAAGCACGAAGGGTGATTTTTCCATAAATTAAATCAACTTTAAGAGCTAAACATATTTGGAAAGTCAGCGACTACTAACATTATTAGAAAGAAAAGAGGTTTAAAAAGCTGGTTAAATCTGAATAATAAAAAATATCCATATGTACAAACTGTAAAAAAAAAAGAGAGAGAGAGAAGATGGCATTCATGACTACTGAGCTGGCAGGGCAGGGGGCAGTTGCATGTTGGGGGTGGGCTGCATGGGCTGCCAGCTTTCCTGGGTTTGGAGGATGCGGTACAGCTGCTTCAGCTGAGCAACAATGTTATCTTTGATGTCTGGAGTTGAGATCTGCAGGCGGACACTGCCACTGTCAAAGGATCGTGTGAAATCGCCAGAAAACATCTCATAGATCATCCGAGCCACCACTGGAATGACCTGTTCAGGACACAGAGCACACAGGTATCCACTGAGGAAAAGGTATCTTTAAATAGCAGGAGGGACCCAATATTGAAGGTAGGACGAGTGAGGCCCTGGGGAAGGCTCCCCATCTCCCCACCCCCAACACACACTCTAATGTCTAGATACAGGACACACCTTCATCTCTCTGAACCATCCTATCAAAGTTCGCTCTAGAAGCTGGTTCAAACGAAGGTAAAAGACCTAGATGTAGCACATCACATGCCTAAATAACTGCTTATTTAGCAAGACTTTTACCCAAATTTAATCTAGTGCCTGTCTTGTACAAATCCAGGGGCCAAATCCAAGTGGTCTTTCTGCCACTTTCTAGAATAAGGTTATGTTCTTAAAAGTAATTCAAAAGGTTTTTGTAAAAAAGAGCTGGAAGGGTCCTATGCTGTTAGGTTTCAGCAAGACTATAACGTCAGTAAGAGAAGGAAAGGTAAGGTCTCCACTAAATCGGTCACCTACTTTGAAGACCCTGTATTCCCTAGCTTGGTCCTACCATACAATGTACAAAGTTTGAGTCTGCTACTGCATGGGATTAAAACCCACACAGGCTGAAAGACCCTCGCTCTGGGCTCTACTCCAGACCTAGGGGCTAAAGCATTGATAAAAAGGCAATGAGCAAGCAACTAATTGTCAATTATATTTCAATAAAGACCAAAAAAAAAAAAAAAAGGCAACAAGTTGTTGACACATCCTTATATCCTCACCTGAACCAAAATGAGTTTCCTTTCCAGCGGTTTCCCATCTGGCCATTCTTCCCCAAAGCATAAGTAGATCTCAAATGGCGGCTGCTTCTCTATCTGCCCTTTCTGGTGGGCAATGAGATCTGCAGAAGGTGGAAGAACAAGTTTGGTGTACTGGGTCATTCCACAACCACTCAGTAAATATCATCTTTTATGCTGCCCCAGGTAGT